AAGCTGGAATTGTCGTGTGAGCCTCACCCACAACCTTATACTTTGGCGTGGATTCAGCGTGGTAGTGCGGTGACGGTGGACAAACGGGCCTTGGTCTCCTTTTCCATTGGGGATACCTATCGTGATAGGGTCTGGTGTGATGTGGTCCCCATGGATGCTTGTCATTTGTTGCTGGGCCGACCATGGCAATACGACCGTGCCGCTGTTCATGATGGTCGTCGGAATACTTATTCCTTTCTTTTCGGCGGAATCAAGATCACTTTACTTCCTTCGGCCCCGCGGACTTTATCACCGATGGCTTCAACTTCATCTGTCCTCTTTCTTTCCCATTCGGCTTTTCTGACGGCAATTCGGGATTCTCTAGTGGTGTTCTTGTTGGTCGGGAGTGATGTTCACACGGAGATGGAGCCCCCATTGGCGATACGCCCTCTGTTAGCCGAGTTTGCTGATGTTTTTCCGGATGAGCTCCCTTCTGGGTTACCACCTCTTCAGGACATTCAGCATCACATTGATCTTATTCCAGGGGCTTCATTACCGAATAGGCCTCACTATCGTATGAGCCCTGCCGAGCATGAGGAACTACGAAGGCAGGTCGAGGAGCTCCTTCAGCGTGGGGCCGTTCGTCGCAGGTTGAGCCCTTGTGCTGTTCCCGCCCTTCTCATCCCCAAGAAGGACGATTCGTGGCGCATGTGCGTGGATAGCAGGGCCGTCAACAAAATTACGGTCCGTTATCGATTTCCTATCCCACGATTAGATGATTTGCTTGATCAGCTTCATGGTGCCTCCATCTTCACCAAGTTAGATTTGCGGAGTGGCTACCATCAGATTCATATCCGACCAGGGGACGAGTGGAAAACGGCCTTCAAAATTCGCGAAGGCTTATTCGAGTGGATGGTGATGCCGTTCGGCCTATCCAATGCCCCGAGCACTTTCATGCGAGTTATGAACCAGGCACTGCGGGACTTTATTGGCAAGAGTGTCGTCGTTTATTTCGACGATATCCTTATCTACAGCCGGACTTTGGATGATCACCTTCGGCATGTTCGCGAGGTACTTGTTGTTTTACGTTCTGAGTCCTTCTTTGCTGCACCTCGTAAGTGTGTCTTTCTGGTGAATTCTGTACTGTTTCTGGGCTTTGTGATTTCGTCTATTGGGATACGTGTTGATGAGGGCAAAGTGGCGGCCATTCGTAACTGGCCGACTCCCACTTCTTTTACGGAGGCTCGTAGCTTCCATGGGTTGGCTTCCTTTTACCGCCGGTTTATCTCCCATTTTAGCTCGATTGTAGCTCCCATTACCGACTGTTTGCATGGGAAGGTTTTTTCTTGGACACTGGAGGCTGCTTCGGCCTTTGATCTGATCAAGGATAAATTGACCTCTGCCCCTGTACTTGTTCTTCCTGATTTCTCGAGGCCCTTTGAGCTTTCTTGTGATGCCTCGAAGGTTGGTGTTGGTGCTGTGCTTAGCCAGGACGGTCGCCCGGTCTCGTTTTTTAGCGAGAAGTTGTCTGGTCCCCGTCTTCGTTACAGTACTTATGATGTGGAGTTCTACGCCATGGTTCGCGCCGTTCGTCATTGGCGCCACTATCTTTTTCATCGGGAGTTTGTTCTTTACACCGACAACGAGGCCCTTCGGCATTTGGCTACACAGGATAATATCTCAGCACGTCATGCTTCGTGGACAGCCTTTTTACAGCAGTTCACATTCGTGTTACGCCATCGTTCGGGGATTTCTAATAAAGTGGCCGACGCTCTTAGCCGCCGATCGATGCTATTGACTGATATGCGCGTTTCTGTGGTGGGATTTGATATGTTGCGGGAGACTTATGATGTCGACCCTTTCTTTAGGCCTATTGTTCGTTGTTTGGCGACCGGACCTTCCGGGGACTATACTTTGGTGGATGGTTTTCTCTTTCGTGGGGTCCGTTTATGTATTCCGGACTGCAGCCTTCGACAGCAGTTAGTGGCGGATTTGCACGGTGCGGGCCACATGGGCCGTGACCGTTCGGTGGCCCTAGTTAGCCGTTCCTATTTTTGGCCGTCTTTGCCGGGATGTGACCCGATTTGTTGCTCGGTGTCGCACTTGCCATGTATCTAAAGGGGTTGCTTCTAATGCGGGTTTATATCGCCCGCTGCCGATTCCTTCACATCCATGGAGCGCGATTAGTATGGATTTTGTGCTCGAGTTGCCTCGGACTCAGCGTGGATTCGATTCCATTTTCGTGGTTGTTGACCGATTCTCAAAAATGGTGCACTTTATCCCGTGCAAGCGAACCACCGACGCCGTTCACGTGGCACAACTTTTCTTTCGTGAGGTGTATCGCTTACATGGCCTTCCTTCCTCGATTGTTTCTGATCGTGATACACGATTTTTGAGCCACTTCTGGCGGAGCTTGTGGCGGATGGCTAATACACGCCTGGACTTCAGCAGCGCCTATCACCCCCAGACGGATGGCCAAACTGAGGTGGTGAACCGGTCTTTGGGCAACCTGTTGCGTTGTTTGGTGGGTGACAACCTTCGTAGTTGGGACCAGCGGCTGAGTCAGGCTGAGTTTGCGCATAACTCGGCAGTGAGTCGTGCGATCGACCTTTCACCGTTTGAGACGGTTTATGGGATGGTGCCTCGCGGCCCGTCGGATTTAGTGGCCCTACCGGCGGTGGGCTCGAGTGATCGGCGTGCGGCCGACGTTATCAGTGATTTACGTGCCATTCATGAGAAAACTCGGGCTCACTTGGAGGCTACGACGGAGGCATACAAGAGACGGGCGGACGTGCGCCGTCGTCACGTCGAGTTCGAGGTCGGCGATTTTGTGTGGGCCGTGCTGACTAAGGATCGTTTCACTGCCCATGAATACAACAAGTTGTCAGCCCGGAAGGTTGGTCCTGTCGAGGTAATCGAGAAAATTAATCCTAATGCTTATCGTTTGCGCCTTCCTTCTCATATTCGCACTTCGAACGTTTTCAACGTCAAGCATTTGGTGCCTTATTCTGGTGATCACTCGGATGATGACGAGGCCGCTTCCGATTCGAGGCCGAATCTTTCTCAACAGGGGGAATGATGACGACGAGGCCGCTTTAGCGTATCTAGACAAGTTCGACCGGCTCAAGATTTAGTATTATTATTTACATCATCTTTTGTTATTTAGTTTCCTTTTGTTATTTATTTGATGTCCTTAATTATCATGCCTAGTTTAGGAAATAAATAATCCTCTTGCACTTGTTAAGCAAGAGTATGACTCTTTTCTCTATTTATTGAACAGAAAGATGAGATGTAATTCATTCATCGTTGAAATAAAAATTATTGTTCTTCTTCTGCAAGAGAGAGTATCTCTTATTTGCAAGTCTTGAGAGAGTATCTCAAGCATCCTAAGCACACGTTCTACATCAGAAAGGTTATCCACGTCAGGGCCATGTTGGATTAAGTTGCCGGACAAGTTGACATCTGTCGGCCAACGATTTGGTCAATGCTTGGTCTTGCAAAAAATCAAAGTTTGGGTATCAAAGTGCCAAGGTCTAAAGTCGTGACAGAAGTGCAAAAGTCGATAAAGTCGTGATGTGAGACGACTAATTGATTTTAAAAGCATCTAACTCACATGATTCAAACAGTTCATAGTACCTATATTCCACCAAAGATTAAGTGATAAGGGATTGATAAAGGATAGCAATATCACAATGGGATAAATATTTGATTCCATGTGGTGGTGGTGATTGTCCTTTCTTTTTGGTTCATAAGGAATGTACGAATGGATCAAATACTTCTGCCTCTATTGTATGCTTAATTTCAAATTCTCTCACCAAACATGAGACGTATTGTAGAATATATACTTGTTTGGCAATGTGAGATGGTTGATAGCTAATATAATCAATATTGAAAAAAAAAATAAAAAATCATCATCTAGCTTTGATTAAAGCCCGATTAGGCACGAGTACAATACCCGTGTACTACACATGTGGTTCATAAAAATAACTTAATTTACAACAAAAACTAAAAAAAAAAAAAACAATACGTTTATATATTTTGTTGAAGTTGAAAAAAGAAATAATGAACAATATATAACAATTTATAATAAAGAACTGAGTGACTTAAAAATATTATTCTAAATTCTGAAAACTAATTTATATACATCGTTAATTTTATTTATATTTTCATTTAAAACACATAAAGGAACAATATGGACAAAGCACAAAATTGGAAAAGCAAGATTTTATGCATATTATAGAAAAAAGATAATAAATAAATCTATACGGAATAGTTTAAATATATTAAATATGTGTATATATATGACAATCTGAACCCAAATATTTGATATAAAAAATTAGTAATTTTTATCCGAGCGATATTACAAAGCATAACGTTTTGCCATATAAGATTACGAAGCATGGAAAGCTGTCACTTAGGCCCAGCGCGTTATGAAATTATATATAAGGGGTGGTGAGGGGTGATTTATCCAGTTCAAATCTGGCTAGCTCTATGTAAATATGAGCTAAATTGCCTGAAAAAGGAGTGTGTGGGTTCTTTACAGTGAAGGTCTCACGTTCTAAAAATTCACTTACGTTTACACAGTGCAAAAACAGCAAAACGCAACTTTCACAAGTTCACAGTCCACCGACATCCGTCTGAGACTAGGAATTTTACATTATTTTGGTCTACATTATGTAATGTAAATAAATGGCAAACTCTGATTTAAAAGAAAAAGAAAAAGAGATGGTAAGAATCATGTACCAGGACTATTGGCAGAAAATCAACAGAAAGCCGAAACTTTCCTACTAAACTACAACAGTATAAGTCGTTCCAAAATGGCTTTACTCTGGCGTAAATGTGTTATCGGTTTTGTGTAGAGATGGTAACACTGATGAAGAACACACAGTCATTCCCTTTGGTCACCTAACAGGGGCTGAGATGAAAGACCTGAGAAAACAGAAAATTGTAAATGAACACTGAATGACTTCTTATTCAGGGCCTCACCAGCAAAATGCAACTAAACTTCTGAAATGTTCGACACTACTCGCTTCAGTAACTTCACAGTTCTCAGGATAACGTAAAGAATCACTAAAGAAGCCCAAGATTACCTATAAATCCTCTAATCTGTCGAAAAGAAATAGCGTGAATATGAAAATACTTCAACCAGTTCTGTCTTTCTTTCTTCCCAAAGTTAAAAGGTGTGACTTTTAATTTTTTTAACTTCTTCAGCTTCACCGTAAGAATTACAATTCATACAATCAATACAAAGTAGAATCCAATTCCAACTGTGCCTTTTTATTTCATACTTTTGACTACTAAAGTCCAGAGGTAATTACCTGCATGATTATCATTTTGTTCACCAGACGGCTGTTTTAAAAACTTCTCCTTTATTTCAGCTATAACCAAATGAGTCAAAAGCAGCCCAGCAGCAAAAGCACCAATGATGAGCATAGAGAAGACTTCATCCCAACCCTTCGATGATAAAAATCCAGTCAAGAGAGGACCCAAAGCAGCACCTACTGATCCAGTGCCATCAATGATTGCAGTAACAGTTGCCAGTGCTCGAGAATCGCCTTTTAACGAACGATGAGTGCCGAGATCAGCCGAGACAGCAGTTGTGATAAGTGCATACGGCCCGTTTACGAACAATCCAGCTATCATCATAAGAACAACATTGCTCGTTTTAGACACACTTCCGTATTTTCGGTAAAGAAGCATAGCAGGGATTGCGGAATATACGAAGGTTGCAGCAGTTGCAGCCCGGGCCCGAAGTTTGTCGGATATATAACCGGCCAGAATTCCACCGATTATTCCTCCCACATCGAATAGAGTCGAGAGATTTCCGGCAGATTTTACTGACATGTACTCTCCTTCAATAGCTGTACAATAATATGCTAATTAATTCAAGAAAGCAGGGAGAAAATTCACATGCGGTTGTGCAAAGGCCTTTTTTTTGTGATATTTCACTATTGTAAATATTGTTTATAGATTGGAAGAGATATTATTATTCAAACAGACTTTAGGGAGAAACTAAAATTGCATTTGTGTCTGCTAAACAAATGCATTGGGCACAAGCAAAATTTTCTGATAGTCGAAGATGATAGGAAAACGTTTTAAACAACATAGTTCGTCAACGACAAAAGAATTTAACTGTTTCCCCCATTGACTTGATTCTGTAAGGGAGTTATATAGTTTATCATCTATTTTTCACTTATCTCATGACAGCTTTTCTTAATTACCAGTTAATTAATCGACTAATCTTGGTTATGAACAAGGTATTACATAGTAGAGATAGACAATACAAATGCCTGATCAAATTACAAAAAAGAAATTCAACAATAAATTCCAGATGGTTAATTATTGCCTAATTAAACTGACACCATCATTCATGTATCGAAGTCCAGATCCTACTTCTTGAAATTTTCTTCATTTATGTCTACAAAAATTCAACAACTTTTTTCTGATTAGATGTTCATCCCAAGTAAAAGGAACCATTCTTGAGCACTTGTCTGTATATACACTAACTAAAAAACGATTGGGACATGCATGCAAGCAATGATACAATAAGCAACAGAGTGATGCAAGATCATAACTACCTGTTCGGCTAAGGTAGAAAGGCAACCAATACAAGAACGTGTAAGCAACCAGCTTCGCGAAAAAAAGACAGAGAGCAAATGGAATAACTCCAGGTATCAAACAAGCCTTAAATAGTCCAACACTTTTCCTATTCCCCGAGGCCCTCTCCCCATTCCCAACCAAACACTCCCCTGTTTTCTGAGCTTCTTCATCATTCAAAACGACACTTACGCCAGTATACCCATTCGGGCTCGAGAATCCAACATCTTCCGGATAAGCAGCTAAGAAAATGTACACAATTATCCCGCTAAGGAAAATAAACGAGCCCGGGAGGATAAAAGACCATCCCCACCCGTACTGCAAAACACTCGCGGCAAGCAAAGAGCCTGTAATATTTCCGATCGATGTATGTGCATTCCAAATGCCCATTATTAAGCCCCTTTTCCTTTTTCCGAACCAATTTCCGATAACAGCCACTACCGAAGGCCAGCCGGTGGCCTGGAATAAACCGGCGGCCATCTGCATCGCTAGGTAAAAGGCAAAATTATGAACATCCCAGAAATAGCCCATTCCAAAAAGGGCAACAAAAACCCCGCTGCCTACCATACCGGCGGTGAGGAACAGCCGGAGGTCCAATTTGTCGCCCAAATGGCCGGCAACGTACATCCCAACGGCGTAACAGCCCAAGAACGCCAAATCAATGGCGCCCAATTTCGAAGTCCCGTCTTTTCCGTCAAACGGCGCCCAGCCCTTACGTTTCCCCAACTCGGCCCCTAATAAGGATATGGGCTCCTCCCTCTCGATGAAGATGGGGCCCGCGGGCCAGGGTTGTGGCGCCGTGAAATTGCCATCCGGGTGCGGATTCAAAACGCTCTTCACTATGCTGCTGGGTTTTCTTGAAGCGTGGTAGGCGGTGTAGGCTATGAAGGTGACCAACAAAACGACGTACCTGTAGGTATTCAAGCTCCAATCGTTTCTCCTAACGCGCTTAATCAGAAGAATCCCAGGTGGGTTTCTCCTGTAATTGGTTGAGGAATTCTCTCTGGACATGTTTTTCGCGAGTAAATTGCTCACAAGATTTGCAGAAAAAATTACGACATTCTTTGGAATGTAAAAGCTGGAAACTTGACAGAGAAGGCTGGGGAGAAACAAAATTGACGAATTAAGAGGCGATTTGTTTGGATTAACGAGTACGAGGGTTCAAACGACGATCGAAATTCGTCAAAAGGACTAAGTGTTGTCGGCGACTAATCGATGAAAACTCTGTTTTGTTTGTTTTCATCTGTGGGGATCTGCGAGTGCGTACGTGTTTGTACCTCTGTTTGTGCTCTGTGCGTGTGTGTGAGAGAGAGAGAGAGAGGGGGCAACAAAGATGGTATTGGGAGGAGCGAGGATGGCGGGAGAGAGTGGTGATTTTACGAAGGCGTGGAGGGACGCGTGGCAAAAGATTACAAGTATCTACTGTTGGGCCGTTGGGCGGTTCAATAAATAGGCAATTATCAATATGATCAATATGGGGCCAACTTGGAGCTTAGCAAGCAATCATTTTGAGATCGACTCCTTGTGCGCGGTAGTTGAGAATATTATGTACTTTTTCGGAAATATATAGAGCAACATCAAAAGTAGGAAAAATAAAAAAAATAAAAAAATACAAGGATCACAAAAATATCCGCTGTGGATCTAAAATCAAATCCTCATAAAAGGTCGTCATGGTCAGAGTGACTTGGCATGGAGTCTAAAATGTCAAATCTAGTCAGGGACAGGTGGTGGCGGTCGACCGAATCTGAAGGATGGGTACTTGAGAATCATTGTGTGGCTATCGTGATTTAACCTGAGGCAGTTTTTGAGGGGTCACAGATGTTTCCTCGAGGACCTAATCAGACGCAAGCCTGTAACCTCGATATAAATATATATATGTTAGGTGCAAAAAGTTATAATAAGATTTAAGAAAGAAAAG